GGTGAACTGTGAACGTGCTGGAGAATTGGAGAGAATGAGTTGAACTGGAGAGATGCTTTGCTGATTGTATGGTTGGTTAATATTCCAACAAGTTCGAAAGGTTATATTTTTGCTTATAATTGAAAAATAGTAGGAGAGTTGTTGTCATTGTCAAAATAAAAAAGTTAATTTTAATTAGGTCTGTAAAATAATATTCTTAAATCAGTTAATAATTTATGTAATTACCAAATACACGTTTGCCCTCTCTCTCTAAAACTATACTGAGAACTAATAATTACAGAGTTTTTGACTTTTTAATACTTACGAAGTGGAAATTGAGACTATCTCAGTTGTAGATTTTCCAAATTTTCCTTAGAATACTGACATCAAGCTCAGAAATTTCCAGTAGATTGGTGCAATATTTATAATCAAATTAAATGAAATGAACATGTTTAATAAATGGTTGACGAACCACAAAATAATATGTACGGAAGACTCGATGCATACATCAATTTATAATTTATTTGTTTTTTGTTCTTTAATGTTGTTTCGAGATGAATTTATCCAAAAAAGAAATCGATCTCTCTATTTTAGAACTACCTCTATCAATAAAATATTAATTAAGATTTCCGAATACCATAAAAGAACTCTAAAATTCCGTACAACTGTTTGCATCCTTTCATGTATATATGTAATTCTTCTCTCTTAAATACCGTGATTAGCTTATATGTGTGTGTGTACATTTTTTTGTGTTATTGTGAAAAGATAAAAAAAAATATGACTAATAAAATCCTTACTCATAATTTATTAATCAAATAGTAATTCATAGGCTACCTAATACAATAGAAGAGTTTTTGATGAAAAGTAAACAAAAAAACAATAACATAACAGTCTAAACTTCTCATTCCTCGTCAGTGTCTGGGAGAGGTGAAAAGTTCAAGTCCGGAACTTTATATTGAACTGCGGCTGAACCATCTCCTCCCTGAGCAGATGCAGGAGCATTTCCTCCATCATCAGCAACACCCTCCACTATTTGTTGACCACCGCCTGCAGCCACATTTTGATTTAGAATAGGAACGTCGGAGAAGTCCTCCTCGGCCCTAAATGATGGAGGCGGAAATGCACCTTTCCATCCACGATTTGGGTGCAATCGTAGATGACCAAAGAGAGCTTTGGAAGACCGATAGGATTTAGAGCAAACACTGCATCGGAACTGGAATTCTCCGCCCTCTGCGTGTCCTATGTCCCTCTTTCTGGCTATGGAGTCTCCAAATTGGCTTCCAACCGCAGCTGGAGAACTACCAGAACTGCCACCAACAGCCACGGGTACTGCCTGCGCCACCTCAATTATTCCGCTGCGACTTGCACCTGCAGCAGCTCCAGACGATGCTGCAGGGAAATTCTCTTGTGGTGGAGGGCCTAGTGGCCTATAAGGAGTGAAGGCAGAGAAGCCTGCACGACCCATCTGCGGTAGAGCTCGTGGTTGCATGGAGGGTGGGTGGGATCGGCCACGCCCATGGCCTCGCCGGACGTTCCCCTCCCCATCGCCGCTGTTTTGTTGAGGGCTTCCTTCTTCCGCCGGTTGGTGGTTGGAGGAAGAACCTTCCCCGGTGTGTTTCATTGCTTCGGAGAATAAAAAATGTATTAAGACCAAATGTCAGCTCTGGTATTTATAACTTCTCAGCAGCGATGATAAAATGTCCAGCATAAGACTAAACCTGGCTATTGTTGCACTGTCAAAGAAGTGAAACTTGGATAAAAGTAATCTCAATCTGATTGTATGTAACTAAGCGAAGGTTGACAGAATTTGATTTTTGATTTCCTGAATTAGATTCTGATTACTGGCAGCTTTATGTAAATCTAAATGAGATTAAAATAATTAAAATCTAAGAATTATCTGTGCATTTTCTGGCTTACAGATAAGAAAGAAAATAATTAAATTTTTTATTTGATTAGTTACTGAAGTGGAACCGTATGGAGATATTGTTGTGTTGTCTCTCCATAACAATTTACCAATGTTTGTATAATTATTCGACGAAAAATAAATATTTGAAGTTCAATCAATAATTGCTAATACAATGTTATGGGTTCAAATTTTAGTAAAAAAAAAAACTTGTTATATATGACATTGTTGTTAGATATTTGTTGGGAGATTCGGACCATGGATTCCCAAACGCGCCAATACAACTTGGGTTCTCATTCTTAAATTTTTTGCTGATCAAAGTCACAAACTCTTGTAATAGGTTTCAAGAATTGTTGTCTCAAAGTTCGTGTCCATGGCTATCCCTCAAATAAAAACTTGACATGTCACTCCAATTTTACACAGTATCAATTTATAATCTAGACGAAGCCTTTCTTGTGGTTTCTCCAACTCAAGGGTGATGAAAGAAAGTTGTATTTTTTGAGAAATGGAAATATGGGATACGCATCTTAAGTCAAATTGCTCAAGTGAACATCTACTAAATCTATTGATCCAAAGAATTCACAATTTACGGTGGCGACATTTGGTACTACCACTGTCAAAACAACTACCCGAACAAGAATGATATCAATTTATGTGAAAAATGGTGTTGGAAAGATAGAATAAAAGAAATTTTGCTAGAGCTTTGAAAATCGGCACTCCTACCTCTATGGGTGCATGAATATTTATGCGTGTGTGGATATTTATATGGGAGAATCTCCGTAAAATAAGTTAGGATGTTGCTGCCCTAATCTACACGTGACGCCTCCCTTGTGGTTGTAAAAACATTTCCTTTTATCGAGTTGTTTCCTACTTGTACGGAGTTACCATGTAAAGACAACGTCTTTAGATCTTCCTTGATCACCGAGAATGTTTGTGGGGATATCTAGTTGTTGACACGTGTAGTTTCCTTGTATGATAGATTCGCTTAAGGTAAGTGACAGTTGTCCATATCATCGTAAAACACCAATTGATTGTTAGTAGATAAAATGCTTCGCCAACTACACTTCACCTATCGAATCTTATCAAGGTTCGCTCGATCGATAATGGGATTATGCAAAGCTAATCAAGGGATGAAGCTTGACTACAGTAACCATTCATACGAGGACCATACCGGGATGACATGTGTTGCCGGGAGCGACATAATGAGTCATATCGCTTCGCCATATTCAGCTGAAAAGCGTGAGAAACACGTGAGGCTTCCACGTGGCGGAATGTCATTGGCCTATTGGGCTCTCGACTCTTAGGGGACACTTTGCCTTAACTCCTTTTATGCTCCTGAATCTTAAGAAGCAAGGACATCATTGCTGAGTTCATGATTATTCTTGAGAATTAATCATTTTTGTTGACAATAGGTCAAAAGCAAGAAATTGACTTTGACATTTGTCTCTTAATGCTTCACCTCGCCACACAAATTTAGAAGGCATTGCAATCAAAGACCCCTCAATTGAGATTTCGATAAATTTTGAAAGATTATAAATTCTAATGAATTTCGTGAATTTGAATAGATTTTCACAAAATAAAAGAATCTCATTAAAAATAGTGAAATTTATAAAAAGAGATTATTATATGTATTTTTAAATTTGAAATCCATCTAAATCTTTAAAATTCCTCTATTAATGATATTCATATAAATCTGTAAGTTATTGATGGCACCTAATTTTTAATGCATTTCATTAAAATCTCAGCTGAAGACACCTAGATTTTAATAGGTTTCATTAAAATTCATTTAAATCTCAGCTAAAAACGCCTAGATTTTAATGAGTTTCATTAAAATTCATTAAAATCTCAGTTGGAGACACTTGACTTTAGATTGATTTTTAAAATCTAACAAAATCTCAGTTAAGAACACTAAAATTACATTCTAGGAACCTTCAGTGGCCATAACATGTTTTCTTCAATGTCGTTATGAAACAAAGGTCGAGTTGCTCTAAGGGTGCGTTTGATTGCAAGGGTGGAAAATGGGTGGAAAGAAAATGTTTTACTGGGAAAAGTTTTGCCTAAAATATATTTTATGGGGAAAATGATTTCAAGTGTGTTTGATTGGTATAATTTTTCATCCGGAAAATTTTTAAATTTTCTAATCCTTTGACTTAGTTTTACATGAAAAATGTTCATTAAAGTTATACTTTTTCCGACATTTGGTTATAAAATTTGTTTTCATTGCTAAAAAAAAAAATAATAATAAAAAAAATATTGTTTTCTGAAAAATCATTTTTTTAATCAAAATTTAGTGTTTGTTTGACTTTGTTTTATATAGAAATTGTCAATTAAAATATTTTTTTTTTTTACAATTGGTTATAACATTTGTTCTCATTGGAAATAAAAAAAAAATTTGAACAACTGGTAAAATGATTTCATTAAAACCAAGGCATTTAGGCGCGTGGACCAGCGAAGTGGAAAACAAATGGGTGGGAAAATATAGC